TTCTGAAAGCTTATGGCTGAATGATAGCATAAAAATCAAACATCTATCAGGTATTTTTATTTTCTCCAGTATCACTCTTTGTAAATGATACTTTTATCTCTTATTTTTTGTTTTTTTATTTTTTATTTTTAAAATAATTTTCTTGCAATTAATATAGGGAGACGAAAATGGTTTATTAGTTACCTATTCCTATATTTAAAAAATCCTTAAAACTTAGCAACTTAAAACAACAGTCAAGCATTTTCTCTTCAAGTCTGAAATCTGAGTAGCTTCGCTGGGAGGTTCAGGCTCAAGGTCTTTCAGGAGGTTGCAGTCAAGCTATCAATTATAGCTCCATTCTCATTTGAAAACTCCACAAAGGGAGAATTCACTTAAAAATTCACCTGTGTGATTGTTGGTAGGCCTCAGTTTCTTGCTACCTTTTGGCGAAGCCAGATATTTCAGTTCCTTATATGTTGGCCTCTCCACAGCCTGGAAAAGTATCCTTTGGATATGCAACTGTCTTCTTCTTGAGGGAGTGACCCATGAGAGAGAGTGTACCCCAGAAGGAATTGCATTACTTAGTATTAGAAGTAATATAGTATACCTTTTGCTTTTAGTTAGAAATAAGTCATTAAGTCAAGCTGACACGGGGAAAGAAATGATAAGCTCAACTCCTTGAAGGGAGGATTATCAAAGAAATTGTAGACATATTTTTTAAACTACCCCAAGTAGCTTTGGGAAAATTTTTCACAAGTTAATCGGTCTAAAGATGGTAGAAAAGTCATGTTTACTTTATATCATTGTTTTGAAATACAATTAAAAGATTGAAAAGGAGTCAAGAAAAGGTTACTTTCATTGAAACAAGGAAAAAAGACTTGAAAATAATGAGGAAAGAAATATCCAACAATTGCCTTTGTCCTCAGACTTCAGGACAAATACCAGTTTGCCTAATGGTAAGTCGTCCAGCCCTTAAAAGAAATGTGTACTCAATTGTTCATTAATAAATGTAAACTAATCGGTTGAAGAAGTCTGTGTAAAAGTTGACAAATGACTCAGGATACTTCAGAACATTTGGAAGGAGGCATTAAAATAAGAACTACTCTGACAAGCCTTAAATATTTCTTTTTTTCAATCTAAGTTTTTGTTTGGGAGGACCTTGAAGCTGAGGCAGAGGGAAGGAGGCAAGAGATTCAGAAATCGTCAGATTATAGTTAGACTCCTAACCTGAGGTTTCTCCCTGTGAACCACACAGTTGTTCTAAAAAGGAAATTGGGTTAATACAGATTCATAACATCTGTGCATTCAGATGTTACAGATAATCACATTACTAACAACAGTTTAAAGAAGCAATACATGAAACCAAAGTAGATACAAGATAACAGAAGAAATGATATGTAAGTATTGGAGCTCAGGAAACAAATGGAAGAGAAAACGATTGAAGAGTTGAAACTCTTATTAGTAGTAATATAGTTGCACCTAATTAGATAGTAATATAGCAACCAAACTCAACAAAGTCAAATAAAAAAGAAGATACAGAAGTCATTACACAGTTTATGGAGAAAACTTTTTTTTTTTTTTTAAAGAAAAACGTATGCCTAATTGGTATGAGGAGAAAAGAGCAAATGAGAAATAAATTTTCCTGAAAAAGTCCTAAGACTGAAAGTTAAAAAGGCCATCTGAGTCACAGAAAAAAAAAAGACATATCCACCAAAATTATTGACATTCAAGGGTGGGTAAAGAGTCCTGTGGGTGTCCATGTATAAAATCCGGTCACTTAAAAATGATGAAAGTCAGACCAGAGTCAGACTACTTCACCATAGTAATGTCCAATGTTACCAGAGGGTAGAAAAATACACACAAAATCATTAGTGAAATTAGTAGTGAACATGTAATTTGATACCTACCAAGTTGTCTCTTAATGATGAAGACAAAATAGATATATTCTTAACTATGCAAAAAGGAATACGGCATACAAGTGCTTCTATTTGATAAAAAATAAGGAACTTAGAAATGGAAAAATCATGGGAAGGTACTAAGTATCTAATCTCATAATAAGAACTATTAGTAAGAAATTTTGTAAAATATGATTATCAAACAAAATTGAGAAAATTTAAGAAGTATACTTGAGAAGTTCATCATTCTTTGTAACAGAGAATAAACAGATTATTTCCAAATTGAAACAATTCTATACATACACACACACACACATACATATATAGCTAATTTTGTATTTTTGGTAGAGACAGGATTTCACCGTGTTGGCCAGGCTGGTCTCAAACTACTGACCTCAGCTGATCCCCCCACCTCAGCCTCCCAAATTGGTGAAAGTACAGATGTAAGCCACCACACCCGTCTATTTCCTGTGTAGATTTAGCTAATTGTTTTCTGTCTCAGTTTTGTCATCTCTAAGATAAAAGGACTAATTATTGCCAATGGTGATTGTGAGTGTTTCGTGGTATTATGCATGAAAAGTATTCAGCATAATGTCTGGCTTATAGTAATTACACTAAAAGTAAATATTAGTTATTATTGATAACAATTTATTCAGTGCTTGCAATATACAAGGTATTTGCCAATGTTAATGCCAACTGATATTCATACTAATATTGTAAAGTAGGCATTATTATCCACAAATAATGCATGAGTAGCAGATAATCAAAGATGTTTGGTTCATGACTAAAAAATACTAGTACTGGAATTTGAACCTACCTGTGTCCAAATCTAAAGCTCAAGAATTGTCTATTATATGAAAATATAACACATACTTATTATATGTGAATTTTATGCATCATACGTATTTTTAATGTTTAAGTCATAGTTTTAATGTGTAAAGATCAGAAACGGTTATTCACAATGTAATTGTGCATGTTAATTCTTAAAATTTCATTTATACAAATTTTGACATAAAAATTTATAAAATTTTTCCAAGTTTTTATAAACTCATAATGCTACAACAAATACAAAATTTTGACAATATTTTTCTCTAGTTATTTATTAAATCATTTATTTTCCTTTTCCTTGTTGAATTAAAGTTTTAATTGACAGCAATATAATTGGGTACTGTGAAACACATTTTGGTTATTTGGGTGTAATATTTTGCTGTAGCTTAAAAAACCTGCAGCTAGACCACTTGAGGTGGTTCACTCCTGCAACCCCAGCACTTTGGGAGGCCTAGGCGGGCGGATCACTTGAGGTTAGGAGTACGAGACCAGCCTGGCCAACATGGCAAAAACCTGTCTCTACTAAAAATACAAAAATTATCTAGGCATGGTAGCTGGAATTGCAGCTACTCGGGAGGCAGTGGCAGGAGAATCGTTTGAACCTAGGAGGCAGAGGTTGCAGTGAGCCAAGATCGTACCACTGCACTCCAGACAGAGTGGGAGTGAGACTCTGAAAAGCAAACAAAAATAAACCCTATATCTAGGTTATGTAGGATTCAAAATATTTGCCCGTACATGCTCATAGTGAGTGCTCAGTTTTTATTTGGTTTAAAATACTATGAAAACTCCTGTTTTACTTCGCCAAAACAAAATATCATATAATATATTTAAAGAAAGCAAGTCATTTTACTCTGAACTTGTTCTTCTAAATATGAGGTGTACATCTTTTCCCAGAAATTTATTTAGCCCAAATTTCCTGGAACATTTATTTTTATACTTTTTTTCTTAATATTTTCTTGTGATTATCTGCAGAAGATATAAACTTCTGTTTAATACAGATATGGGAAATACGTCTTTCCTGAAATCATTTCTCTATCTTTATCTATAGCAGTAGTTTTTAACAAGGGTCATTTTGTTCCTGGAACACATATAACAATGTCTGGATACATTTTTTATTATTATATGTTGGAGAGAGATGCTACTGGAATCTAGTGGGTAGAGGCCAGGGACGCTGCTAACCATTATACAATGTACAAGACAGCCCCCACTCAAGAGAAAGATCTGTCCCAAAACGTCAGTGGTGCAGATACTGAGAAACCTGATCTAGGGATATTATGTGATCAAATTCATGTTCACTGAAAATTAAGCCAAGAAAAGCTTTACTTCTTCACAAATTCACAATTCAGGGTGCTATAGATCTTAGATATGCACATAATGCTCTGAATGCTTACATAACTGTGGGCTAAAATAACTTACTTGTATTCTCCTCTGTACATTTACTAATCATTTCTCCAGCTGACTTAGTCTAAAACTCAAGTCCAAGTTGACATTTGAAGTCCATTTTTAGTCTCACTTTCTTCATGAAATTTTCATTAGCTTCAAATTACTTTTAACACACACAGAATATCTCTGAGTATTAGCTAACTAAAATAGAATCGAGTACCTGGTATATAGTAGGCAATAAATTTATGTGCTCTTCCCACTGGCCTCTACCTCCTTTTATGACTTTTGTCTTTTGATCTTATTGACTATTTAGTTGTATAAAGTTTTGCCTTTTTAATTAAGTTGTCTTTTTTGAAAGCATGTCTTATTTATACCATGAAAATACCTTTGTTCACGTTACATCATTATTTTACACTCCAGAATTGTTAGCACTATGTAGTGAATTAATGAAGAATATAAAAAAATTGCAAAAGGACCAACATTTTCATACCTGTAGCTCTTAAGTAGTGATACAATATTAATGTATTACTTTTGCGTGTGTATTATTTTTGGCATTCTAAGAGTTTTACAAACTATCAGGTTTTTTAAGATAATGTTTATGCTTAGTATTATTATCCTTTAGTCTGATTTTGAAAAATGAAAACAGATAAATATATTTAAAATATAAATGTCTGGGATGTTTGCTTTTATGTATTATATCTTTAACAGCATTTTTACTTGATTAAAAATTATATTTGGATCTTTATAATTTAATAAAACAATTCCATTTTCTAGCTATTCCTTCTTTTGGGAATTTAGCTGTTGATTACAAGAAAAGAGCAAGAATTTTGAATATAGATAAGATGGAAAAGAAAAAAACACAAAATATCTTGCTAGTTTAAGGAAGTTTAAAATGTGTCTGTTTTGTCTTTACAGAAAGTGTGGACTATGGGCCAGTTTTTGTGCAAGAACCAGATGATATTATTTTTCCAACTGATTCTGATGAAAAGAAGGTAGCACTGAATTGTGAAGTTCGTGGCAATCCAGTTCCCAGTTACAGGTAGGAATTCACTGTTAATCATTTTTCTTAAGCCTTAAAAACTTTCCATCAGTGATATTCTGACACTCCCAGAGAGGATTATACATATTTGTCTCCTGATTTTTCCTAAGATGGCTTCGAAATGGAACAGAAATAGATGTGGAAAGTGATTATCGCTACAGTTTGATAGATGGCACCTTCATTATAAGCAATCCAAGTGAAGCAAAGGATTCTGGTCATTATCAGTGTCTAGCAACCAACACTTTGGGGAGTATTCTTAGTAGAGAAGCTACACTTCAGTTTGCCTGTGAGTAAAATATATTATTTTTCTATACATATGTGTGTATATACAGTATGGATTTTTAAACTTTAGGTCAGGAAAGAAAAGCTTAAGATCTCAAAGTTTTAAATGTGGTAAAGCCATGGTAAGACATGGAAAGAATTCGAATTATGCCAACAGTTCATTTCTTCTTGAGGTATTTTGAAATTTTCTGAAAGATTTGATGTCTTCAAAATAAACCTGATATACTAGACTGAGGGGTCAAAGTCCTTTTCATTAAAGTTCTAGAAGTCATAACAATGTATTTTGAAACACACCACTTATTATGTATTATTTTTAAGTCTTTGAGTTCAAATTAAGCTTTCTTTGTGAAAAAAATTTATAATTCAAATATCTTTTGAAATCTGATTCTCTCCATCTCTTTTTTAAAATATCTACTGTTGTCCTATATACTATAGTCACCATTTGCTATGGATTTCTAAGAATATAAGATAGCACATTCTAAAAATTCTGCTTATATTCAGGTAACAAAAAATACCTCTGAAATGCTAATACTTTAGATTTTGACTATGTCTTCCAGATGTCCCAATTTTTGTATTGCAAAAAAGATACCGTATCTGGCTATACAAAGACGGATACACACATGCACACACACACACACACACACACACACACGGGAATATAAGCATTTCTAAAGTAGATAATATACCTGATTAACTGAAAATTAGCCGGGCGTGGTAGTGGGCACCTGTAGTCCCAGCTACTTTTGGAGGCTGAGGCAGGAGAAGTGCTTGAACCTGGGAGGTGGAGGTTGCAGTGAGCCGAGATTGCACCACCACACTCCTGCCTGGGCGACACAGCAAGACTCGGTCTCCAAAAAAAAGAAAGAAAGAAAGAAAAGAAAATGTGTGTATATATAATTAACTGAATATATTTATTCTTAAAAACTCTTGAAATTATTTTACTTACAATGAGAGCTTACAATAAACTAAAAATAGGCTAATAGGCAAAATATTTTATTATTCCTTAATAAGTAATCCTACTTGAAATTAAATTCTTGAAGATAGAATCTCTAAAAAATACTGAGAAAGACCAGGAATCTTTATATTAATAATTAAACTGTAATTGTATTGGCTACAAAAGAGATCATGAAATGATTTTTAAATTAAAATTACACCTGGAAGAATGTAATAATTGATCTTTCTCTATATAATCTTTCTCAGGTATCATTTCTAATTAACCCAGAATTCAGACACCCTATTAAGGAAGTATGAAATAGAAAAGGAAAGAATAAAGAATTGATAATAAATACAGTTTGAGGAGCACCAAGATAGGTCCTAGAAAAATGTAAATATCATCTTTTAAAGTAGATTTACCTAAGGAATTCAGATAGGTATATTTACATAGGCCAAAGATACCAAGATAGCAGCCAAAATAAATTCTTTTTTATTTCGGAAAATATTATGTGGTGTATCACAGAACCTAACAGTTTATATTATGCACAATTAACAATTAACCTAATAAACTAAATAACCCTCATAATAGCTCCTTTATTCAATAGTCTTTTCAAGATAGATGCAGCATATCCAGAAAATATGCTTCACAAATATTAATGGCTTATACCTTACACTTTGGTCTACAGTATGTGATACAAGGTATACCAGTTAGGTATAGCCTGTATGTCAATTATTTTTCCCTTTGTGGAAGCAAATTATGCCAGCTTTTTCTGCATGTGTTTACAGCAGAAAGCTATTTATTTTACATACCCATATGACTGTCCTAGGTTTTCTGGAAAGACCCAACACAGTTGTCATATACAATCACCTGAAATGAGGACTTTGACACCAGCATTTACAGTTCAATGACCAGGCTTGGGAAGTACTAGTTATCCTAAGTATCTTACCTATTTAGCAAGAAGCTGTCTTCAACTTGATGCAGAGCAGTATCTACCTATTTTTAACTTAAACATTACGGGCTTACATATGTATTTAGTGGTAGCACCTTATGACTCTACCCCTCTCCACTTTCTAGCAAACTCAGATCATTGGCTAGATATGCATAAAAACCCACAAGGTACCTGGTTAAAGCAGATAGTTACACAGGGAAGACCAATTCTGCCTCAAAGTTATTTCCCCACCTAGATGTCATTATGCTTATTCTTATGATATTGAAACAAGTCCTTTAGATGTAGCTCCATCTATTTTTCCAGTTTGTCTTTGAAAATAAATGCAAATATGGGCAGTAGGGAGAAAAGATGATTTGATTAACCTTACTAGTATACCTGGATGGGAGTTTGGGTGCTGTAGGATTCAGGGACTGAGAATCGTTCAGAGATTAGGGAGTGAAAATGAGGTAGGAAGTTGGGGAGAAAAAAGAAAAGGGGTTTCTGAAATGAGGTGTAAGAAGACAAAGGCAATGTGAAACTTAAAAACTTGGTCGGCAGGCCTTGCGCGGTGGCTCACGCCTGTAATCCCAGCATTTTGGGAGGCTGAGGTGGGCGGATCACGAGTTCAGGAGATCAAGACCATCCTGGGTAACACGGTGAAACCCACCTGTACTAAAAACACAAAAAATTAGCCGGGCCTGGTGGCACGTGCCTGTAGCCCCAGCTACTAGGCAGGCTGAGGCAAGAGAATCGCTTGAACCCGGGAGGCAGAGCTTGCAATGAGCGGAGATCGCACCACTGCACTCCAACTTGGGCAACAAAGCGAGACTCCGTCTCAACAAACAAACAAAAAACTTTGTTGGCAACTTTCCTTTATATTGTGTTTTCTGAAGACCAGGCTTGTAGGCAAATATATTTAATAGAATACACTCACTATTGTTGGAGTGTTTAATGTCTGAAGGGATTTTTGTGGAGGAATGTTTATTACTTCTGTCACATTTTAAAGCTGAAATATTTTATATCTACCAGGCATTATTTATCTAAAAATTTAAATATTCATTATACAACTAACATTTCAAAATCAATATATTTAATAGACTGAGACAATTATTAAAGCATATTTAATCAAATTTTGTTAAACATTTATTAAATATTGAGTATACGAGTCTTAAATGTATTAAATGTTTTAAAATCAGACTAAATTTGTAAATCATCAAAATGATTGCAAAACTTTTCACTAATACAGTACTTACAGTTATAATTCCTCCTTGTACTTATGCTTGAGGCATATTTGCATATGTTATTCAGTTTATAATAATTGAATATGTGTTTTTACCTTTTACACATTAATTTTATCATTTGTTGTAAAATACCTCTTTAGATTATTTTTATGCTGTGCTAGTGCTATCATGATCTTCCAAAATCATACTTAAAGGACTGTGTTACCCGATTCAAAGTCTGTTTTTGAGTTAGCAGCCCAATGAGTTTTGATTGCCTTTTTCAAATTCAAGATCTGTTTAACAGACTAGTTCACTTTTGTGATTAACTATTATTATTGTTATATCAATGATACTTTTTAAATCTTCAGCTTTTACTTTTGCCTTTTAGAATATGACAACATCGCTTGAAATTATGTGATTCTAAAACTTGTTGAACAGTGTTTAATAAACATAGAATGGGGCTCCCCTAATTATAGCCATAAAAAATGTACTAATTTGTATTATATAATAGGTATATACTTAATTGAAGAAGTTATCCATATACTAACATAATATCAAATTATCCATATACTAACAATTATTATACATATTTATTATGAAAAGATAAGTATTAAATATAATAAAATGTAAATATATGTCATTGAAGTTATCTCTTTTGCATGAAAATTACATATTTTCAAAGAAAAATTTCTGATTTTTAGTATCATTAAAGTCAGATGGCTTTTTGTAGATTCAACATATATATATTATGCATACATAATATATATACATATATATACATATATATATGTATGCATAATTAGTATACTGGCACTCCCTTAATGCTAGGAGTGCTCTTACTTAACCAGAAATATATTTTAAAATATTCTGCCTTTCCACTAATAACAGCTTGTCTTCCTGCTCCCAACCCCTTGTCAGGCATAGATTGATCGCTTTACAATGACTATAATGTTATAGAGTCTAAACTCTAGGTGCTGCAGGAGCATATTAGATAGTATCAAATAAGTTCTGGTGGTAGATAGGATAACATTATTGCTAAACCAGATAGTAAAAAATATTTTTTAAAAATAGGTTTTGAATGTCTCAAGCTCACATTGATAGCTTATATTTACTGAATGCTTACTTTTGTGGCAGACAGTGCTCTGTTTTAAATACATTAACTCATTTTATCCTCATAACCAACACATGAGTTGTTCATGTTGTAAAATGTAAATTCATTTTTCAGATGATACCTCTAATTTAACCCTAATAGTACTCAATCTTTTCCTATTCCCGTATAAATGTGTATTGGATTTCTTTTTGACCTAGCCAATTTGATTTTAGAAGTTCTTCTGAACTTGAATTAAATTGGAATGTTTTTAAAAATCTCATATGCTTGCTTCCTTAGTCATTTTACAATTTATTAACGTCTATGTAACAAAAATTAACATTAGTAATGAAAATAAGCATGCAATCAGTGTCCTGCATTACTTCTCATTGTTCAAATTTAGTTTAAAACCACTTATTTAATTTTCCTTATAGAAGTTTAAGAGTTTAGGAGACATTGACTTTCTTTCCAATCCTGGAATTTCGGGTTTATAGTAATTTTGATGTGTAATCACTCTTTCTTACTAACATATTTTTTTTTTAATAAAACCTTTCTTCATAATTTCATTATTTATTGAATAAGCTACAGTTAGGACCTAGAAAGCTAACTTTTCTAAATTAATTTGAGACAGGACAAAGATAACTGCAGCTATTGTCAAAAGCGGATCTCATCATAGGTCCTAGCTTTTGCAGAAAATGATGATAAGGAAGTGAGTGTTTTATTAATACCTGGTGATATAGCAAAAATAAAGTTATATGTAGCATTTGGAAAAATTAAGCAAGTATAAAGCAAGTTAAATTGTTTTTAAAGTTTCATTTCTATTCATTTTTCACCC